GGAACAATTACTACTAAGAGTAAAATGAGAAAAACAAATTAATTTTGTTTTGAACTTTTAAAATGACAAATATAATGAGACAAATATTTTAAATAATAAAGAACGATAAGTATTTTAAAACGAAGGAAATAGTTTTGAACATTTTTTTGCCATCTCACTGTCGTTTTTATTTCTTTCCATATGTTTCTTTACTGGTATAAATGGATATTGCAGTGATGGTTTTGTCATCAAATCTTCCAACTAATTACTCTTAGTAGTAATTACTAAAGAAATAACAAAGTTTGGGAGGTTATAATTAGTAGTATACTTAAGTTTTGGATTGAGTTATATGTAGCTCAATATTCTAATGAAGATAATACGATTTTATTTTGATCTTCATTGTGCCAAACCTTATTTTACTAAGCAAGTTACATATTTAACTAGTCGATTAAAAAAAATTCTATTCGCTAGTCAACAACAACATATGCAGTATAGTTTCATTAAGTAAGGTTTGAGAAGCGTAAAGTGTACACACACTACACAAATCTATCTCAATCTTGAAGATTGATAGGTTGTTTCCGATAACAAATCTATTAATATATTTTATTTATATTATATATTAATATACAAAAAAAAATATATTTTTGACTATTATTTTGATTGACGACTATTACGTCAATTTTTCTAGAGTTGAAAATTGAATTGTAGTTCCCTCATTTTTTTATTATGGCAATTTTGATAATTTTGATTATTATTTTTCCTTTTTGAAGATGTAATCGCATAATAAAGTCTCACGGTTATAATTTGAGTTAGAATAGGATAATAATTATGGTTTGAACCATATTCAGAGATCTCGGATTCAAATATTGGGTATGGAGAAAATCTTGTTGGGAGCGCTACCTTCGAATGAGCCCTGTAGTACGTGATTTGAATTTAATCGAGACTCTAATATAGACTCCGAACATCGAATGGAAAAAAAAAGAAGATAATAAACATAATCAACAAGTTTCCCATATATAACTGTACTCTTACAAAAGAAAGTTACATGGTGATAGCTTACCTAAATATACCAATCAAAAGAGAATTAAGTTACAATCAACAAGCTGAAAAGAGAAGTTGTTTTCATTGTTATTTGAAGAATTAACTTGATACTTTACTTTAAGCAAAATCATGTGCTCCCACTTAATTAAAATGATAATTAGTCTTAAAAAGCTTGAGAGATTTGACATTATATTCTTTGATAGACTCTATTTAATTAGTCTTTAATATTGACTAGAGGTTAATGTTAACATCACCAAAGAAGAATATTACTGGTTAGGAGATTAATTTGAGGATGAGGTTTGACACATAAAATGATTAATGAGTAGATAATTTCCCATATACCACAGAAAGTTACTCCAATTGTACCACTTTAAATGGCCTAGCTCCGTTTTTTTGTTAAAAAAGAAGAAGAATTAAGAAAAAACTTGCGTAGGAGGCTTGCTCCAGTGATTGAGCATCTCCATCATTAAACGATAGGTTGAGAGTTCGAATTATGCTGGAAGGTAAGAGATCATTATAGCCTTGATCATGAGCCATTAAATTATCAGTTTATCACTATAAGTAAGAACCATAATCTCAACAGTGTTGATTAATATTGACATAATAGAAGTAAGTGTTTCGATCAAGTAATTTAAGTCCAAAAAAAATCATTATTATTTTACATTAATGCGTGGTTTAGAGAAGGGTCACATTTAAGAGGATACAATTCACAGAAATAATTTTACCGGTGTTCTAAGTCTCCCCCTTCGTCTAATTTCACTTTCTATAGAATAAACTAATTTTAAGAGTAATATTTGATCTTGATTAGTCAAATTATTAAATAGATAATAGGTACTTATTAAAATAGTATACAATAACTCTGCTAAAATGATTTTAAGTCCTTGTTCGAAAAGATTACACACATTAACTATTCTGACAGCCAAATTCCATAATTTTGACAATTTAGGATTTGGATTAACAATAAAGTTGTTTCGTTATAACTTATATGTCATGGATTCGAGTCGTGAAAGTAGTCATGCTTGTATTAGGATAGACTGTCTACATCACATCCAAGAGAGTGTGGCCCTTAGCATATCTTGCATAAATGCAGAATATTTTGTGCACCAAACTGCCCACGATAACAAAAGTCAACTATGAACAATTATAGATATAACACCTTTTCTATTATATTGTTTCTATTCTCTTGATTAAAGCAAGAAGAAAGGATAAAGCTTCGAAATAATGCAATATACCTACTCATAGTAATTTGTACAAGTTATTTATTGAAACTATCATAAACCAAGGAGCTTATATTAAAAGATATGTTGTAAACTAATAGGTCTTTCACTTCTCATTTGGACTAATAATGGCAAGGAACACATCAAACTTTGCTTAAGTGACAAGTAGAATGAATGATAGAGAAAAGTGAAAGCAAAAAATTAAAAGGAATGAATCAACAAAAACAATAATTGAAGTCTCTTTCACTTTGTATTTCTTAAAAGGACAAAAGTTTCAAGATTTTAAGGCCTTTGGTAGCTCAAGTGTCCTAAGTCACTTCTGTTGGTTTTGTAGCTGGAGGATGTGACACCAACCTTTTTTTTTCAATAATTATGATAGATTTTCCATGTGGCTACTTAAAACCTCTAAGAAAATTGCTATTATTTTTTGGGTCCCCCCTACCCCCCCCCCCACACACACAAAAAGGGGGGGGGGGGAGGGGGAGAATATCTTTGTTCATATCATATGGTTAGGGTTTTGGTATACAACTCCATTTGAACAAGTTCGGATCAGTTATATGAATTTTCACGATCTGTTACTTTATTTAAGTCTATCCCAATTCAATATTCAGTAGTTGGATCCCCCTAAAAAAAAAGGAAAACTAAGAGAATATCTTTGTTCATATCATGTGGTTAGGGTTTTGGTATACAACTCTGTTTGAACAAATTTGGATCGGTTATATGGATTTTTACTATATGTCACCTTTATTAAAATCTGTCTCAGTTCAATATTCAGCGTTATAAGTTCTCTACATTTTCTATTGGCGTAGATGCTCATCAAATATATTGGTCTAAAGCGAAAGTACTAACAATACAAATCTTTTTTGTTCTATTGTATGAAGAAAAAATATCACATAGGCCAAAAGGCTAGTAATATTTTATGTGAGTGATGGAACACCATAGGACCATACATTGTTTATGATATATCAGCAACTTGCCTAAGATCAAGTGTACTGAATTGCCAATTTGGGAATTTTTGTGTTGTTTGCTATGTGAGATGATTTGCTTGTTCGTTTTGTCACTTTTTTTTTAGTTCCCAGCCGATGTCTGGTATCTACATTAGAGTCTGACTAAATCTAGATTCGCACCGGAAAGTCTCACATTGGGGTAAAACGCTCCCTAACAAAGACGACTCAGTATCCAAGGATGCTCAAACCCGAGACCTCTGATTGAAGATGAAAGAATACTTGTCACTCCACCACAAACCTGATCGTTTTCTCACTTTGTTTTGCTTTCTTGTTAATAATGTTGCCATGTTTGAAATCAAAGGGTATCATGATGTCACTGGAATAAAAGTGAACCATGTTAGAGGGACTCACTTTTGTCTCCTTTTTCACAAGGTCCATGCCAATGTGAATTTTATTTCTATGGATTTGACCCTAAAAATATTTCAATTAAGACTTTCTGGGGGTCTATTTTTTGGGAAAATAACATTAGTAGCCACAAATTTTAATAGCTGAACTTAATAGCATTTGACTCGAATACACTTTAAGCACAAAATATTAATCCCTCTGTCTCAATTTATATGACTTACTTTTCTTTTTAGTCGGTCCCAAATAATTTAACTTTAAAATGTCCATTTTACCCTTAATGAACACTACTAAAAAAAACTGATAAAAAAGACCTAAGAAAAGAGACCTCAAAAATAGGTCGCTAAAAGAGACCTCATGAGGTCATTATTTGCATCTATAATTTTTATTTATTTATTTTTTAAATAAGAGACCTCATGAGGTCGATTATATATATAAAAAAATTAGTATAGATCACTTATTTTAAAAGTTATTTTTGTTGCTACTTTGCCTAAAATATGTCATCTCACGAGGTCTCTATTTGTGAAAAAAAAATAAAAAAAATTGGAGACTTCCTAAGGTCTCCTTTTTTTTAGTCAAATTTGGTCAATAATATTTTAAAATAAGAGACTTCATGAGGTCTCTTATTTTAAAATATTATTGACCAAATTTGACTAAAAAAAGGAAAAAAATTAAAATAAGAGGCATTATTTATTTTTTAACTTGGCGCATCTCTTTCCCACAATTTTATATCACCTAGAAAGCCCTAACTTGTCTCTATCTCCCACGATTTTGTAGCTTCAGGGACGATATTGCCTCTCCGTTGAGGCTACCGCCGGCCACTCACTCACTCAGTTTGAAGCCCTAGTTCCGTCGTCGATTCGTGAGAACTCCATTTATCGATTTTGAACAGATAATTTTGGAGCTTTTCAGTTTTTAATTTGAAAAGTTTGAACAAATGCAGATTTTTTTTCCTTTTTTTCTTGATTGATTGCTTTCTAGTTTGTTTTGGCGTGAAGAAGAATGAAAAAAAGAAGGTAACATGTTTTTCCTCTTCTTCAACGACAAAAAATACAGTGAATCATTTATGTTTTCCAATAATAGCAAATACATTTCGGACTGTAGCTTATCAAAATAGTTCTATGTACTGTAATAATACCACCAATTGGTGAGAGTATTATACATGGGAACTATAGCTTATGTTTTCGTTTATGAAAAAAGAAACTTTTAAAAGAGTTCTATGTACTGTAATAATACCACCAATAAGTGAGAATATTATACATGAGAACTGTAGCTTATGTTTTAGGTAGAATGATATAATTTGATTTCTAGGTTTGTAAATTACTACTTAATTTAATGTTTAACAAAGGCAAATTTTGTGATATTTGTGTAGATGGACCGTAGTTGGATGTATAATATGACTAATTTTGGTCAAATGGGGCTAAGACCTGAATTTGTAGAAGGTGTCACTGGTTTTGTGGAGTATGCAAAGATACTAGAACCTTTTCAACGTAATGGTATGATTATGTGTCCTTGTAATAAATGTCAATGTTTGAATTATGAAAAAACAAATATTGTTGAGCTTCATCTCTATCGAAATGGGTTTAAAAAAGAATACACAGTGTGGACTAGTCATGGAGAAATTGATAATAGTTTTGATGTATTTCAACATTATGTTCCTGGTGAAAGTAGTAGCGCAGTGAATTCTAATGCAGAAAATTATAGAATGCATGACATGGTTCAGGATGCGTTTGGGGTGCATTCTGATTTTGAATCTGGTAATCAAGGTGAAGAAGCTCATAATGTTGAATGTAAAATTTTCTTTGAACAATTGGAAGCTGCTAGTCGGCCTTTATATGAGGGGTGTCCACACTCGCAATTGTCTATTGTTGTTAGATTATTAAGTATCAAATCAGATTGGAATGTTCCTCAAGGGGCAATGGACTCTATGATTGACCTTATGCATGATTTAGTTGACCCAAATCTAGAGATACCTGACAATTTCTATAAGGCAAAGAGGTTGGTATCAAAGTTAGGATTGTCATCGATAAGAATTCATTGTTGTGAAAATGGTTGCATGCTATACTATAAGGATGATATTGATCTAGAATCGTGTAAGTTTTGTGGAAAATGTCGTTATAAGTTGACTCCTAGCGGGAAGAAAGTTCATGTTAAGGCGATGCATTACTTACCTCTTATACCAAGGTTAAAGAGGTTGTATGCATCTAATAGCTCTGCTCCTCATATGAGATGGCACCATGAAAATAGAAGACCACCTGGTGTTATGTGCCATCCTTCTGATGGAGAGGCCTGGAAGCATTTTGATAGAACATATCCACAATTTGCAGCCAAACCACGAAACATTAGATTGGGTTTGTGTTCAGATGGATTCACACCACATTTTGTTTCTGATACACCATATTCTTGTTGGCCTATATTTGTAACACCATATAATCTTCCACCTGAGATGTGTATGACCAGTCCATATATATTTCTCAATTGTGTCATTCCTGGACCACGAAATCCAAAAGTCTTGATTGATGTATACTTGCAACCTTTGATTGATGAGTTGAAACAATTGTGGGTTCAAGGGGTTGAAACATTTGATGTGTCTCTTAAGCAAAATTTTAATTTGCGGGCTGCCTTAATGTGGACTATTAATGATTTTCCTGCGTATGGAATGTTGTCAGGGTGGATGACAGCGGGAAAGTTAGCTTGTCCTTACTGTATGGAAAATACTAAATCATTAATTTTGAAACATGATTGTAAAAATTGTTGGTTTGATTGTCATCGACAGTTCTTGCCAATGGATCATGAGTTTAGGAGTATGAAAAATGCATTCAGAAAGTATATTGTTGAACAAAGTTGTCCACCTCCAATCTTGACTGGAGAACAAGTTTGGGAAAGGGCTCAACACTTTCCAAAGGTCACAGAAGAACAACCATACAAATTTGATGGGTATGGTGTTGCACATAATTGGACAAAACAAAGCATATTCTGGGAGTTACCATATTGAAAGGATAATCTTCTTCGACATAATCTTGATGTCATGCATATCGAAAAAAATTACTTTGATAATTTATTTAACACAGTAATGGATGTCAATGGCAAGACAAAAGATAATGTTAAAGCTAGAATGGACTTACCAGAATACTGTAGGTGAAAAGAGTTATGGTTGCAAGAGAAACAGAACAACAAGTTTTTCAAGCCTAAGGCTAGTTATTCATTTACATTGGATCAAAAGCATAAAATATGTGAATGGGTCGAGCAGCTTAAGATGCCTGATGGACATGCAAGATGCCAAGCAATCTCAAGAGACAAATTTTTTTGGAGTTCAAGGTATATTTAAATTTATTTCTTTAACACTATTTAAATACTTGTCTTCAATAATACTTATTAATTAAAAATTTATGATTTCATTGCAGAAAAAATGTGCTTGGCGTCCGGAACATGAGATCAAAATTTGTGCAAACTTTCATAAGAAAGTTGTGCGTGTTCTCGCTAGTTTGTTGACGAAAACTCGTAAAAATAATAAGAATCCTAGGTGGATTCTATCGAAGGATTGGGAAAAATTACTTGTGCATTGGGCGAATGATCCAAGATTTAAGCAGATGAGTGAGATCAGTAAGAAGGCTAGATCATCTACTAAGGGTGGTTCTCTACACACAAGTGGGGCTCAAAGTCAAGGAAGTGTGAGGAGGAAATTGGTATGTATCATTTTTCTTTAAGTTTTTATATATTTTAGGTATTACTATTTAATTACTCTTGATTATAACTTTATTAGTTTTATATGTAGGACAAGGAACTAGGAAGACTGGTAACTCAGGCTAAGGCATTCAAGGCAACACACATAAGAAAGAAGAAAAATCTCGAAGATCCAAATATGTGGGTTGAGCCGGGAGCTGAAATGACCTATGTAAGCCTCTAATTTAAAATAATAGTTACTTATTTTCTAAATTTATATTCTAATATTAATACCATTCAATTTAGAATCGATACCTTCAAGCTTTGGAGGATTTACGACAAACTCAGCCAGAAGAAAATCGAGGTATGCCACTTACTCAAGAACAAGCCGAGAGAGTGTGGTTAGACTTGATTGGTGGACCGAGTAGATATGGATATGCCTATGGCATGCCGCAACAAACCTTCGTGAATATCATTCTGAGTTTGAAGGCCTAAGTAGTTCCTATGATGATGAATTGATGAAGAAAAATTTGGCTATGGAGCAAAAGATAGCTGAGTTATCTAGCCAAGTCGAAGACTCGCGGGCTAGGGAAAGGCGAAGGGACTTAGAGTATGCGGGTCTTAAGGCTCAATTCGATGCATTACTTGCTTCAGGAGGGATTCCCCCTTGTTCCAATGATGTCACTTTCCCTCATCGACCCTCTCAGTCTCAACCTACTCGATATACAGTGTATGGTCAACAAAGAAATATGACAGATGAGTCTAGTAGTGATGAAGAAGATGAGGATCATGTGGCAAACACACTACCGCATTAGTGAAGTTTAGAGTTGTAATAGATAATCTAAGTTCTTTACTTTATGACTTTTTTATGGGACTATTTGTTTTGTGAATGCATGATAACATTGAAATCCTATTATATAACTTATGGATTTTATGGTTTTTCGTTCAATTTCGAATTACGTTGAAAGTGAGTTGCATATTGAGTTGATAAGAGAATATTTAGTAAATGTTGTATCAATTGATTGTTGGAAGTTGTTTGAGCTTGATTTAGCTAATTAGAGAGGTATTGAATTAATATGACAGGTGATGAGCAGCTGCAAAAACAGTTACAAGCTGCCATTTTCGAGGAAAAGACACCTCATGAGGTCTCTTTTTTGCCTTTCATTTTCCAGAAATTTCATAAAAGAGACCTCATGAGGTCTTTTTTCTGCATTTTAATTTTAGAAAAATGCAGTAAAGAGACTTCACAAGGTCTCTTTTTGGCAATTTCATTTTTTAGGCTATGAGAAAAGCGGCTTTGTGAGGTCTCTTTACAGATTTATTTTTATTTCTTTCATAAAAGAGACCTCATGAGGTCACTATTTATTTTTTTTTGTTTTAATTAAAGCAACCTCATAAGGTCTCTATTCAGAAATTTAAATAAATTTAATATACTGTATGGACCTCACGAGGTCTCTTTTTTTTAAATATAAATTAAAAATAAATAATATAATAGTGACCTCATGAGGCCACCTTTATTAAAAATAAAAAAAAAAGTAAATTATGAAATTGCGACCTAATGAGGTCTCTTTTTTTTTAAAATCGAAAAATTTATTGGTGACCTTGTGAGGTCTCTGTTCGGCGACCTAATGAGGTCTCTACAAAAAAGTCACCTACATTATAGCGACCTACCGTTGAGGTCTCTTTTTAGGTCTCTTTTTTCAGAAAAGAGACCTCATGAGGTCTCTTTTTTAAGTCTCTTTTTACAATTTTTTTAGTAGTGACGAAACGATTTATCCATACAAATTTCTATCATTCATTTTAGACCACAAGTTTTAACAGTCTTCGTTTTTTTCTTAAATTTTGTGCCGAGTCAAACTACCTTACATAAAATGGGACGGAGACTAGTTATAGCGAAATCCACAAAATTTAGAGTGGATGTAAGATGTAGAAAACAATGGTTACCGTCAAAGAAGATATATATTCTGGCCAAGTTTGTCAGTTGTTCAGTGCTCCTTCACTTATACATTGTGTAATTAGTGTACAATAACTGTATAATATGCGTATACATTATATACTGTGTATATTGCTCATAGATTTATCATACAAATTATATATATTTTTAAAAGGGAAAATTACGTGTATAAACAAACATATACTAGTTAATTACTTAACATAGTTATAGTTTGCCTTAATTACAATTCGCGATTTACTTTTAGCTATAATTACACAGCTCAGCTTTTTAGTTTTGTATAATTTGCGCATTTGTATAATTCGGAATTTGTATAATATAATTTATATAACTTTTGTATAATTCATAATTTGTATAATTATTTACACTTCTGATGTTTGTAATTGTATAAATTCGTTATTTCGAGTTTATACAAAAATAACTGAATTATACAAATGTACCCGCGAATTATATAAACCTGCGAATTATACAAATGAGGCAGCTTAAACTATAGCTACAACCTGTAAATATGCAAACTATAGCATGGAGCATAATTAAGTTTATTATAGTGACTATTTGTGAAAGTTCCTTTTTTTTTAAAATGGTCGTGAAGAATTACAGTGGATACACTAGGTACTGATAACATGTATATAATGTGTATATCTTATATAAAAATTGTATCTACAGAAATCAAAGTCTCGTCTTTTGTTGGGTTCTCTCAAATTCTATGATAAACTTATTGAATTTCTTTTACTCCTTCCTTCACTATGCCACTGCCCCTATATGAAGCATCAAAGGAACATTTTCACATGCAAAGGAGTTTACTCTAATTTTATTTTTTTATTAGTTAAGAGGACAACTAAATGAAGCCACTTTTTTTTCACCCGGTGTCCAGTACCCAGAAGCACAACTAAATCCAAATTTGCATAAAAAAGTCCCACATTAGAGGTAAAGCGCTCCCTTACAAAGCCGACTCCATAACCAAGGACTCAAACACAAGACCTCTCACTCCGAAGCCAAGGACTCAAACACAAAACCTCTGATCAAGAACAAAGAAATATTTACCATTCCACCACAACTCTTGTTGGTAAATGAAGCCGCTTATTTATCTCAAATTTTGCAGTCTAAATTAGTGTCCTTGATTTTATAACATCTGCTGTTTCTTGATCAAATTATTTCTGAACTTGTAACATCTTTCTAAGATTTCAACTACTATAGTCCTAATTTCATTCTAAAAATTGGTAAAATAAACAACAATATAGAGTTATCTTTAAGGAAGAAGAGATGATTGATATTCAAAACAAAGTGCATACAACAGACTGAATTCTCACATAACAATAAGTAACAATGGAAAGTTATTAATCACAATGCACATCCTCTACTAAGGCAGTCCAAACCAAAAACACTGTTTTCTTTCATCAAACAACATATGAATACAAAAAATACAAAGGAAGCAAACCATGAATCCATGTCCCTTCCTTAATGATACTAAAATGTGACTCAAGTTACAAAAGAATACATTGACAACAGCCGTTACAAGAACTAAATATGATCGAAGAGTAGTAACACCTATACCAGACACTATATACATTCACCTTATAATTAAACAGGAAGAAAGGAAACAGAAAACCGAAAAAAGTTCCAAACATTTGTTCCTATACCCCTAAAATGCAGTTTGAGTAACAACCTTATTCCATTTGCTGCTTATTGGACCATTGGAATTCTATTTCCAAATTCCTTGAGGGTCCGCTTTTGCTCTCGGGCAACAAGGTGTACTCCCCAGCGACTGCACCCAGCATAACTACGCGGTCAATCTGGATCGTGACCTTCCCGAATGAACTCTGTCATTAAAGTGGAATGAATTTAGCAGAAGTCAAGAAGCATATTTTAGCAAAATGTTCAGTGTGTCCCGTTAATTGTAATAGTAACAGGAGAATAGCTTGTATCCTCTTACCTTCCCCATTTTGCTCTTATTCTTGCATGAAATATGGAGCTTCTGGCCTTTAGGAGGACTTTCAAAGGACCATGAAAAGCTCTCATCGAACTCTGGATTAGGACCAGTTGAAACAACCTGACAGGAGAAAAACAAGGAATTGTGAACCATATGAGGGTGTGAAGGGAGTAGCAAGAAAAGATCTATGCATATTGAGTGTACCAAAGAAGTTCAACTTAATTATTTTGTTGTTGGAGAAGTACAAGTCTTGATTACCAATCACTGTTGAATCAAACATAACCAAATTTCCCAATGCATTAATTGAAGTAGACAAGGTAAACTCAACCCCCCGCTTCCAAGGCGCCAAGAATGGCCCTTTCCCACTTTGCTCTCTTGGTAACTCGAACCCGAATCTCTTCCTTTAGTAAACAGATCCCTACTTTGTTTTCTAGAGCCATCTTGTTCTACTTAATTTACAAGTTTGCAATTTAGAGTGCCTCACTCCCTCCACCCCGCCCCAGCACACAAAGTAAAAGTTCTTTATAAATTAGAGTTTGGTTAACACTGCAAAAAACGGGTTCCAACCCCACTTAGCAATGAGAAATAGTACTGTACTTGAAATGAAAATGGAGAGTACCTTCGTTTGGCGAGGTGGATTATTTCCAAGGGTAAGCTTGCAAAAAACGCTTGGATTTCCAACCGATTGTCTCATGTTGTTCCCTCGCTTTATTATTACCACCAGAGTCCCAGGCAAACATTGCAGTAAAAATTCTGACTTCTCCTGAAACCGAGGGGGGCCAGATTGTATCAGATACTGCAACAATGGAATGGCATCTGCAGCAGCAATTGATTGTGCCCGAGAAACTTCAGCAGGACATGCTGACCAAGCTTGGCGGAGAAAAAACAGAGCATCCAAAGCAGCTTCTTGAGTTGCCTCGGAACCAGTCTTCAGGGATGTCACTAAATGTGGAATACTCAGGGTTGCAGGTTCAGTAGCCCTTAAACGGGGGAAGTTTCCAAATAGTGCATTCAGAGCCTTAAGGTACTCCTCATTTACAGTTCCCGAGGCCCATAAATCTTTCTCAATTGCAGCTACAAGATAGGAAATCAATTAAATTTATAAGCTATTAGCACTAACAAGAAATGACTCCATTTGCATATAAACTTTTAATAGTAAAATTAATTAACTTTTTGGACACAATAACACATCATCTAAACTGTTCTTTAATATTAACCAACCTGGATCAAGAATAATGGGGGAGAGAATCCACCATCATTTTACGAAAACTTCTACTTTGGAGATACTAATTTTAATATATGAAATGTAAAAGAAAATATAGTTAGCCATGTATATTACACTCGTACAAGTTCCAGACAGATCGTATCTTGTAAATTAGAAATTATTTCTTTTGTTTTATTTAATCCAACAATTGGATTTCTTAGTTAAATAATGAGAACTAGCCAATTTATCTTTTTCCAGTCAGTTTTTATCTCACTTGTCTTCTGCAGTTTCAATACAGATAACTCTGTAACAATAGATTATGGGGAAAGGAAAGTTTACCAGTGATAGCCCTGACAGTTTCACTTGAAGCATACTCTTGAATGGTGTTATTGGAAAAAAGAAGCTTGACGAACATTGCTGCCTGTACTGATGTATCTGTCTCACTTGAACCAATCAGATCTAACACAACCTGGACACCACCAGCTTCCGCAACTGCTCTCTTATTTGATCTGCTATACATAACAAGGTTCTGTAAGGCACATATAGCGACAACTTTCATTTCTTCAGTAGGTTGATCTTCAAGCAGATTCACCAATGCCCGGCAAGCTGAAACAGCATCACTGCTTCGAGCAAGAGCCTCATTCTGGAATAGGTCGCCAAGAGCAAGAGTTGCCAGTAATCTTGCTTGTTGCCCTTGTGTCTGAGGATCCAAAAGATACTGTGATAAGGGCACAATTGCT